AAAAAAAAAAAAAAAAAGAGACATAACAAATGCTGTGTCTGACCTGAGAAAGAGGAGTCCACGTTCACCCTAGGGGTGGGGTCTGGTGCTATGGTACGTGGGTGAAGGGCAAAGCCAAAGCTGTGCAGACAGGGTTCCTTGCTGCTGCTCTGCTGCCTGGGCCACACTGCCCAGGTAACAGACACAGGGACTGGGAACCTCCTAGCAGGTTCTTGGTTGCTCTTCTGCCCTCACCTAAGGAGCTGAATTTTGTGTGGACTCTATGCTGGAGAGCAGGGCCAGGGGCCTTGCTGGTGGTGACGATGGATGGGAGGACTTTAGGGGGCCCCACTCTAGTGGTTCTTTCTACCCTCCATGTAGAGAAAAAAGAGTGCCGGCGGGACCACCGCCCACCATGTGCTCAGGAGGCGCCCCGCAACATGGTGCACCCCAATGTCATCTGTGATGGCTGCAATGGGCCCGTGGTAGGAACCCGCTACAAGTGCAGCGTCTGCCCAGACTATGACCTTTGTAGCGTCTGCGAGGGAAAGGGCTTGCACCGGGGGCACTCCAAGCTCGCGTTCCCCAGCCCCTTCGGACACCTGTCTGAGGTGAGCAGGCCCTCCCTGCGGGCCTGGGGTGGGTGCAGGATGGCAGGAACCCTGACCTGCTCACTCCCTGCCCCTCTGCTAATTCTTCCCTCAGGGCTTCTCGCACAGCCGCTGGCTTAGGAAGCTGAAACATGGGCACTTTGGTTGGCCAGGCTGGGAGATGGGCCCACCAGGAAACTGGAGTCCACGTCCTCCTCGTGCAGGGGATGCCCGCGCTAGTCCCACGGCAGAATCAGGTGAGGCTTGTTTTGGAACTGGCTTCTGAATGATGACTGTAGTCAGTCAGGGAGCCTGTGTGCAAGGCAGAAATTCAGGGCACCTCCCCACCTTCCTGATGTCCTGAATTCCTCTGTGCATCTGTGTCCTACAATAACACAAGAACCCCGCAAAGTGGGGAGTATTCTCTGCGTTGCCCAAATGGGGAAACTGAAGTGCCCAAGTGCCTGAGGCCACAAATTCACCTGCAGAGCCCTTCCTATCTCAGGAGGCTGCCCTCTTGAGGTGCCCTGAGGTGTAGGCAGGGAGGCCTTTCCCACGCTGGGGTCTCTGCTGTACTTTGTTCTCTTTTGTGGTGGTTGTCCGGAAGATCAGAGCCAAAGCTGCTAAAGTCCTTTTAAACATAGTTGTAAGCTAAGAGTTACCCTTGGCTTTGCAGTCTGGATTTTTGGATTCTGATTTTATTAATCTTACTGTGTCCTGTGAATCACCTCACCCTTTGGGACAAAGATAGGGATGTTTGCTTGACTTTGAGTAAATAACACATTTACTCAAGGATTTGCTCAGTATTTATCCATAGTGTACTGAGCCTGAGCCTCTGTGGGGTTACTGAGCATCAGGGTCACAGATGAGGGGGAGCAGTGCAGGAGGGTGGAGAGGCTCATGGTGAAGGGGCAGGGGCCGCAGAATGGGAGGGAGGAGAGGGGGCTGCTGAGTGGGCTGCTGGACAAGGGGTTCAGGATAGAAGTCACCTGGGAACACGGGAACCTTGGCAAGAAGGTGACAGGACTGTAACAAGTATTCATGGCATTAGAGATATCTTTATTTTATCTTTGTGAAAATCAAAGCTTCTGGTCCATCGGAGGATCCCAGTGTGAATTTCCTGAAGAACGTAGGGGAGAGCGTGGCAGCTGCCCTCAGCCCTCTGGGTGAGTACACCCTCTTGCCCAGTGCTTTCCTAACTCAGCTTGCACTTTATGTAACTTTCACCTGGAATACTGCAGAGGAATGGGTAACTGACATACTCTTGACACTAGTGAGGCCTCATATTAACCTTTGTTAAGTAAGTGCTGGAACACAGGCACTCAAGGTTGAATTCCGTGACAGAATTCTCAAGCTTTCTACACGGAGTGAAGTAGAATCAGCCAGCATTTGGTTGGGAAAATCCCAGTAAGGGAGGGTGACCAGGCTCTGGTTGCAGGGCTTGCCTGTCACCTCTGAATGTCCTCCTTTGGGTGAACAACAGTCTGCATTTTCCCCTAAGCTGGGCCTTGGGATTTGGACTTTTGAGGACTTGGGTAATAGTTAGCTGAGATGCTATTTATCCTTTCCTTCTTTTAGTTTGCAACCCCCAAACCTTTCCTGGGTGCTTTTGAATGCTGGGCCTGCATCAGAAGGGGGAGAAGGTAGAGGCAGGTGCTCTCGGTGACACCCAGTTCCGGTGCCTCAGGTTGCACAGTGGGTCTGCTGGCGTGGGTGAACCCCAGCATGTACCTCTAGAGTGGTGCCACCTGACCCCAGGCATGAGCTAAGGTTCTGAGAACCCTCCCCGGTGGGCTTTAGAAAGTACCTGTTGTGTCTGACTAAGGGTCTGGGGCGGAGCGTGCAGCAGTAGGAAGTAACAATCAGCAGATGAAGCCAACTTTTAGTTCAAGATGATGGTGGATCTGTGATGGCAGATGGATTGCTGGGACACCTGCATCTCTCTCTCGAAAAAAGCGAGCTTATCTTTGCGACTGTAGTGGCTGGCTTTGTCCACGTAGCCTGTCCAAAGGTGTTCAGTGTTTGAAAGAATGCTGCTAGGAGGGCTGTCTAAATCCTGTCTGCCACCTCCTGTGGCTACAGGTCATGACTGCCATTTCCAACTCTGCTCATTCTGATTTTTTTTTTTTTTTTGAGACGAAGTCTCGCTTTGTCACCCAGGCCGGAATGCAGTTGTGCAATCTCTGCTCACTGCAACATCTGCCTCCTGGGTTCAAGCAATTCTCCTGCCTCAGCCTCCTAGGTAACTGGGATTTTAGGTGCCAGCCACCACACCCAGCTAATTTTTGTATTTTTTTTTAGTAGAGACAGGGTTTCACCATGTTGGCTAGGCTGGTCTCAAACTCCTGACCTCAGGTGGTCTGCTTGCCTTGGCCTCTCAAAGTGCTGGGATTATAGGCATGAGCCCCCGTGCCTGGCCTTATGTATTCTGCTTTGAAGCAGCAGTGACGTATTGGCATTGTTGCTGAACTAAACAGCCCAAATACATATGGCTTCTTTACTGAAGTTTAGAGGCGAAGTCAGAGAATAGGAAAGAAAAATTGCTATTTTTTTTTTTTTTTTTTTTTGTGATGGAGTTTCACTCTGGTTGCCCAGGCTGGAGAGTGCAATAATGAAGTCATGGCTGGGTTCAGGTGATTCTCCTGCCTTAGCCTCCTGAGTAGAGGAGATTACAGGTGCCTGCCACCATGCCCAGCTAATTTTTGTATTTTTAGTAGAGATGGGGGTTTCACTACATGTTGGCCAGGCTAGTCTCAAACTCCTGACCTCAGGTGATCCACTCGCCTCAGCCTCCCAAAATGCTCGGATTACAGGTTTGAGCCACCATGCCCTGCCAAGAATCGCTATTCTTAATGCTTTCCAGGGAGGGGAAAACAGTGGAGCACTGAGATTATGATTGAGATAGGCTCTGCCTAAACCCTGCTGCTTACTCTGGACATAGTAAAGGTCTGAGAAATTGCAGGTGAATTTGGAGGTATGAACAAGAGTCTTTCACTCAAAGAACAAAGGAGACATTCTTTGTTCACAAAACCAAGTCTAGGTTCAGGTAGAGACTTGAAAAGACAGTGCAGATCCCCAGGCCTTACCTTTTTTGATCCTGGTAATTGGGTGTTGGTGGGGCCTGGGGATCTTTCTGGGAGGCTGCCTAGGTGCTTGGGGTCACACTGTCCCAAGACCCACCTGTGCTGGTGCAGCATATCAGAAATGAACTGGATGCTCCATTTGGCACAGACAGGAATAATTTTGCAAGTGCTCAGAGGTCTTTGAGCACTAAAGGCTAAAGGTTTAAAGTGGATAGAATTGCTTTTTCCTAACTGAGGAGGAGCCTGGAGCTCTACAAACAAGGAACATTTTAGTAAAATAGACAGAGTGGTTTCAGCTGAGGAGAGCTAGTCAAGGAGTGGCTTACTCTGTTGTGGAAGTTAGGGCTATTTTCTTTCCTTTATGAGGAAGTATAAGCAGGATGACTCACAGGTTAACTGCCTAGAAGGGACTGTTTCCAGAGCAGGGCCCAAAGGGTAATGAGTCAACAGCAGCCTCCCGGTAGCAGTGTGTGTGGGGTGGGCGGTGGCTTTCATGTGAAGAGCCAAGGCCTTTCAGAGCCACCACTGAGACCCAGGCTCCTCCTGGCTGGGAGGTTGCAGGCCCCGACATCCAGGACATGAAGCCACAGAGTCCGTCCTGGACATGTTATCTTTGATAAACACACACCCACATGCAGAGGCTTTGTGGGGCAGCAGGGCACGGAGCATCGTCCAGTTTTGCTTTTTGTTTGTTTGTTTGTTTTTAAGTGAAAGCAAGTTTCTTAAGAAAGTAAAGAAATATAAAAATGGCTACTCCAGTGGCAGAGCAGCCTGTCCAGTCTTATTATAAGCCCTGAAATCTCAGGCTTTCATCATCAAATTTGAGAAATCCTAATTCTGTAATTTCTCTGATCTGTTTACAGATGAGTCTCATTACATACCCATTAAAAAAGCATATGGGTGTTGATTATACTATTCTTTCAACTCTTCTGTTTGCTTCAACCTTTTCATAATCACAGTTGGAAAGAATAAAGGAGAAAAACAATTGAAATATTACAGATGGAGGTACTTGCAGTTAAGCCTGCTTTTACTTAAACTCTACTGAAATAACAGGAAAGGGCTTAACCAAAAAAGAAAACACCATATACAAGGAAAGTAATAGAGGAAAAGACAAAGATGTCATCAGAGTTTGGAAGATGGAAATGAAGGGAGGGTGGCAGCCTGTCAAGGGAAGCTTCAGAAACCTCTGTGCCTGCAGAGGGCATCCTGGTGAGAAGCAAGACCATGTGTTCAGGTACCAGGAAAGGCAAGAGGTAGGAGTCCATCAGAGACTTCAGGGCCCACTTCTGGCCAAAGAAGGAAGGAACAAGGAGGAGGGTTGAAAAACCTCTAGTAAGTGTCAGTTAGAGACTTCAGGGCCCACTCGGCCAGATGACGACTCTTGCCAACACTTGAAGGAGATCCCATGTTTAATTCCAGGAGCACCTGACCCAGGGAAGCTTCAGCCATGGGATACCAGAGACACAGGGCAGGGTGAGGCACCAGGCTGAAACTGGGCATCCCGAATGAGCAGTGGTCCCAGCAGTCACTTCCCTGGCCAGGCAGGAGATGGGGAGTCCCTGTGGAGGGAGGCTGAATGCCCCCAGAGAAGAGTCCTACAGCTCCTGCCTGCCAGGCCCCCAGTCACCCTGTAGAGGGGAAGTTAATGATGGCCCTGGCCCCACCGAAGGCTTCCTGTCGACCTTTCCTTAGTGCTTCAGTGGGAACAGACAGCCTTGGGTCACCAACCATCTGAGGAAGCCTCCACACATGGGAGAAAAGGTCTTAAAGAGAAGAGAATGTTAGTGCCCTCAGTCAGATACGAAAGACTATTGTCTGCATGAAAAAAGGAACAGGTTACTATAAAAAGGATAACAAAGGGAATAGAATAAAGTTCTTGAAATTAAAAAATATAAAAGAAAAAAACTTTAAAAGAAGACTTAGATTCTGATACTGTCTCAAGGAGATATTCCAAAAGCAAAATAGAGATAGGAGGAAAGAAAAGAAAACTAGTATAGGAACAAGTCTGGAAGCCCAATATAGGATGACTAGGAATTCTAGAAAGAACAGAAAACTGAAAGGAGGAAATGAACATAGAATGCAAGATACAGTTTCTTGGTGCCAGGCACGGTGGCTCACACCTGTAATCCCAACACTTTGGGATCAAGGCAGGCAGATCATTTAAGCTCAAGTTTGAGACCAGCCTTGGCAACATAGTGAGACACCACTCCAGCTCTTCCCTTGTCTACAAACACTACAAAAATTGACCAGGCATGGAGTTGTGTACTTATTGCCCCAGCTACTTGGGAGGCTGAGGTTGGGGATGGCTTGAGCCTGAGAGGTAGAGGGTGCAACAAGCCTAGATTGTGCCGCTGCACTCCATCCTGGGCAACAGAACCTGCCTTGTCTCAAAAAAAAAAAAAAAAAAAAAAAAAAGCTTATCATTGTCAAGTGTTAGAACCCTGAGGATAAAGAGGGGCTCCTAAAACTCTAGGTTACCGTAAACACTTGGGACTACAAAGAGCAAACAAACATAAGAAACTAGGAGACAATGGAACAAGTGATGACTTCAAAAATCAATTAAAAAGGCTTTTCAGCCTAGAATTTTTTTGTTTTTGAAACAGGGTCTCACTGCTCACTGTCACCTGGGCTGGAGTGCAGTGGTACAATTGTCTCGATCTCTTCGGTCTCTTCGGCTCAAGTGATCCTTCTGCTTCAGCCTCCCAAGTAGCTGGGACTACAGGCATGTGCCACTGTGCCCAGCTTTTTTTTTTTTTTGGAGACAGAGTCTTACTCTGTCACCCAGGCTGGAGTGCACTGACATGATCTTGGCACACTGCACTCTCCGCCTCCCGGGTTCAAGCAGTTCTCTGCCTTAGCCTCCCAAGTAGCTGGGATTACAGGCGCCTGCCACCACACCTGGCTGATTTTGGTATTTTTAGTAGAGACAGGGTTTCACCATCTTGGTCAGGCTGGTCTTGAACTCCTGACCTCGTGATCCACCTGCCTCAGTCTCCCAAAGTGCTGGAACTACAGGCATGAGCCTCCATGCCCAGCTCTGTGCCCACCTATTTAAAAAATTTTTTGTAAGCCAGGCTCATGCCTGTAATCTCAGTACTTTTGGAGGCTGAGGTGTGTGGACCATCTGAGGTAAGGAGTTCAAGACCAACCTGGCCAACATGGTGAAACCTTGTCTGTACTAAAACTACAAAAATGAGCCGGGTGTGGTGATGCATGCCTTTAATCCCAGCTACTCTGGAGGCTGAGGCAGGATAATCGCTTGAACCTGGGAGACGGAGGTTGCAGTGAGCCCAGATTGTGCCACTGCACTCCAGCCTGGGCAACAGAGTGAGACTCTGTCTCCAGAACAAAAATAAAAATAAAAAAATAAGGCCGGGCGCGATGGCTCACGCTTGTAATCCCAGCACTTTGGGAGGCCGAGGCGGGTGGATCACGAGGTCAAGAGATCGAGACCATCCTGGTCAACATGGTGAAACCCCGTCTCTACTAAAAAA